TTTATGCCCTTTTAGAGGAAAGTCACCCATTCATCTCATTATCCACAAACAGTGTGACCTAAAAGTAGTGGCTCATGCATGCAGTTGCATTTCAAATAGGCTCCAGTTTATATTTGCAAGTCCAACTTACAGGGTCCTAAACCAAAGAAAACAAGTTTATAACAAGAGATTGGGACAAAAACATGTAAGTCTTCTTTATTTCTTTTTTGTGTGTGTGTGTGGGTTTTTTGTTGTTGTTGTTGTTGTTTAGAAACATTTTAACGTAGAAAATTCACACACACACACAGAGAGAGGGAGAGAGAGAGAGAGAGTAAGAAAGAATAGTAAAATGAACCCTCGTTCTCAACAATTATCAACTTGTGGCCAATCTTATTCCATCTATATTTCCACTCTTTTTTAGTTAAGGAAGAAAATCATCATGAGAAAGATCAGAAGAGTGGTTAGGACTGTTATATGGAATTGAAATAACCTGGTGATATGGTTTGGCTGTGTCCCCACCCAAATTTCATGTTGAATTGTAGCTCCCATAATTCCCACATACTGTGGGAAGGACCTGGTGGGGGATAATTGAATCATGGGGTGGTTTCCCCCATACTGTTCTCATGGTAGTGAATAAGTCTCACGAGATCTGAAGGTTTTATAAGGGGAAAGTCCTTTCGATTGGTTCTCATTCCCTCTTCCTGCCACCATGTAAGAAATGTCTTTCACCTTCTGCCATGATTGTGAGGCCTCCCCCAGCCATGTGGAACTGTGAGTCCATTAAACCTCTTTTTCTTTATAAATGACCCAGTGTCAAGTATGCCTTTATCAGCAGCATGAGAACAGACTAATACACCTTGTAAAATAATAATGGCTACAATTTTGAGAGCAACTACAGGTTATGTGCTTTACATAAAGTATCTTATCAGAACTTCACAACAGCTCTGCTAGGCTGGCGTTATTATCTCAGTTTTCAGATGGGGAAATTGAGGCTGGAAAAATTTAACACTTGCCCAAGTCAAAAAGCATTGACAGAGTCAGGCTTAAACTTAGAACATAAACTATGTTGTACCCAAAATGTTAACAGTCATTGCCTCAGGAGAGTGGAATTATGGTTTTTTTTTCATTTGCTTTTCATAATATTCCTTCTTCAATGTATCAAAACTCATATTGAACAATGAGTTCTGATTTGCAAAAGATGATTTATTTTTTGCACCTGTCAATAAGTCTTTCTCCACAGCTTATATGGGTTTTTATTATCTTTTTTTGTTGATTTTTTAAAATTTCTCTATAATTGCCATTGCTGGACAGCATATCCATCCAAATATGCTGGTGTGGTCTACGATGTTCCCCCCAGGCCCAAGTGGTTTGCTGCTGGTACACCGCCCTCACCCCCACGCCAAAACAGCTTCAAGAAAACCCCGTGAAACAAATGTCTAGGCTTTTTTGTGGGGTTAGTGAGGCTCTGGGTAGAAGTGAGCCCAGCAGTCATCATGAAGCTATCGCTGCCATGTTCCTAAATGTGGTCTGGATTCACTAGACTGCATTCAGATATGCATATCATCCGAGCCAAAGGAGTGATCAGGCCTCTTTACTGCACGTCTTTATTTGCTATTGCACCCAGTGCCAATCTGACTGCATCTAGTAGACTCATGAGGATGGTGATTAGTGCAGAAACCATGATAATGGGTCAATTTCTAAACACCTACTCTGGGTAGCAAAATGGCTGCTGTTTTGCTTCTGCCTTTCAAATCTCACACAAGAATCTCTCTTGTGGCCCCCATTAACAGGAAACATAAAAGGAAGACAATTCCAGGAAATGCAGCTCAGCCTACCGAAGGTAACTCCACAGGGAAGACAGAAGTAGAGGCTGGAACCCAACAAGAGCCTCATGGGTGGAACTAGGCCTAATAGAAAGAAGCTGCTGGAATACCTTTCAAACAACTTGAGTTAATAATCATATGGATCGCCTCATAAGCAGGAAGCTCTTCATCACTGGAAGTGTTCAAGCAGAAGTTTACGGACAAACTATGGAAGGTCTTATACCAGCTAGGAACCACACTTCGCTTTTAGAAAGCTACTTTGGTAACACCAGGTAATGTGATGAGAGCTTGAACTAGAGCAGTAATGGTAGAGGTGGTAAGTGGAGAATGGATCTGGAAGACACTGTGGAAGTAGACTTAAAAGGACTTGGCAACTGATTTGAGGGAGGACCATGTATTAACTTCCTATGACTGCTATAATAAATTATCATCAACTTACTGGGTTTAAACAATAGAAAGATCTTTAAATTTCTATCTCTAAAAATAGAAATTTATTATCTTACAGCTCTAGAGGCCAGAAGTTCAAAATGAGTCTTCTGGGGCTAAAATCAAGACGTCAGCAGGGCCAGTTCTGGAGGCTCCAGGGGAAAATTTATTCCTTGCCTCTTTCAGCTTTGGTAGCTACCAGCATTCCTTGGCCATCACTACAGTGTCTGCCTCCATAGTCACATTGCCTTCTCCTCTTCCGTGTCAAATGCGCTTACCTCTCCCTAATAAAGATGCTTGTCCTTATGGGACGCTTGTCCACAGGCCCATCCAGAATAATGTTTCCATCTCAAGAGTCTTAATCACATCTGCAAAGTTCTTTTTTCCATATAAGGTAACAGTCACAGGTTCCAGAGATTAGGATGTAGGTATCTTTTGGAAAGCCATTTCAGCCTTGTACAGACAGCAAAACTAAAGAAAGCAGTTAAGACTCTAGGGTCTCAAATATCAGTGGCTCAGACCATGATAGAATCATTAACTAAAGTAAGACTATCAACAAGAAGAAAAAACAGTTTAATGAGAACAGTTTAGTTTGGGATATGCTACAAATGATACGAGGGGTTGATGAGACATCCATACGGAGATGGCCAAAAGAAACTTGGAACATTACAGTTTGAAGCTTTGGAAAAGTATCCAGGTTGAAGATAAAGATTTGAGAGCATCTGCAGAGATATTATAGAGGAAGAGTATAAACTCTTGAATAGCAGGGATTAGATTTGCCTATAGTTCTATTCTGGGTACCTAGTATAGCACCTGGCACATAGTAAGTGCTCAACAAATATTTGTTGAATGAATGAGTGAAGGTAAGATCCCAGAGGAAGACAGAGGGGAAGGCCAGGAATTATGAATGGAGAAATCTTTCTTCCTCGAAACAAGAGGTAATCGAAGACAGAAGAGGTGGCTATGCAAAATAATTTAGAAATGGTCAGGATATATCTCAAGATCTCACTTGGGCCAATATTGTTATCATCAAAGTGGAAGATGAAGACATCAGTGAGAAATGTTACTGAGAATGGATTGAGGTTTGAGGAAAGTAAACCATAAAATGTCAGTACGTACTAAAAAGGACCTTGAAGAATATCTATAGAGCCCTCATCTTACAGATAGGGAAACTGAGGCTTAGAGAAAAGAAAATAATTGCTCAGGTCCCCAAGCCAAATAGAGTTTTGTTTATGTGTGCAAATATTTATTGTCTGCTGGCTTTATGCCAGGCAAACCCTGGGCTAGATGTTAGGGACATAGTGAAAAATCAGGTAGACATAGACCCTGCCCTCATGGACTTTTTAGTGTAGTGTGAAAGACACTAGAAATAAGCAGAGTGGTAAGTGCTATGAAGGGAAAAGCTTAAAGTGCTTAGGGGAGCCTAGAGGAGGAAAAGTAAGAGTTAACAAGGAATAAATAGCAAGATTGGTCAGCTGAAATGCCAGCACAGCTGCGGGTAGACAAGGACTTGGCTGTTAACCCAGGCAGCAGTTTCATGACCTAAATGATATTTTTAATTCCAGGGAGAAGAAAAGAAGGCAACTCCCAGGGCCCGACCCTGTTTCCAACATTCCTTTGTACTTGGCTCTTTTCTTCGTGTTCCTCAGGCAGACCAGAGGCATAGGAGGAGGAGCAGCTAAGCAAGCTGAGTGATTCACTACAAAATTGAACAGACAAATATGCGAAAACCTCGGAAGTTTTGTTCACTTTTCCAAGGGCACCCAGGATTAAAGACGCTGCCAGAGCAGGAATTAGCAGAGCACTTCCTCAGGAAAGCAAGGTTTGGAATGAGATTTGAAGTCTACAACAAGCAAGGTTATCAGAGAGAACAGCCCACTTTGTTTCACTAGCTTAATATGTCATTACCTTTTGTTAAGGCCAGTTGTGCCAGACACCAGTAACATTGGAGGCAATTACATTTTAGGAAAGAACAAATTTGAAGTGTAAAAATACATATACCACTTACCTAGCTCGAAGGAAAACAAATTTCCGTTATTTTTCTAATTAAATGATCCCTAGCCCTTCGCTTAGCTATCATCAGAATATGCTTCTTCCCTCTCTAGAGTGCGCCCTCTCACAAGAGCTCTGTGAATCACAGGAGTGCATACTCATTTCAGACAGTCACAACTGGCTTCTGTTGCCTTAAGGAGAAAAATCTGGAAGCCTGCTCAGTCCACCTAAGGACTGTGTTTCCTTCAGCTGTTGTCACTGTTACTACAACAGCGTTGCTAGGAGTCCAGCAGTCCAGCCCCATTGCTGATGTTTTAGTGAGTGAGGCTTGCGTTGGCACAGCAGAAGCTTCCACAGGCGTTAGGGGTAAAGAAGGAATAACGACCACGACACCCACAGGCCTCAGCCTCAAAGACCCCAAGCCTAGGTAGCAGCAAGCCTCCCTCTACCTCTAGACGAAGAAACCAGAACACACTAGAGCTCTTTGTCTTGAGGAGAAGAGACTATAGCTTCCTGAGGAAGAGGGACTCTAGAGAGGGAGGCTGAGGGAGAGTGTGACTGCGTGTGGGACATTGCTCTTGTGAAGGCCTAAAATGGCAAACCTGTCTCCCATCCCACTGTGTAGTTCCAGTGAAAGGTTATTATTATTATTATTACTTGAGATGGAGTTTTGCTCTTGTTGCCCAGGCTGGAGTGCAATGGTGCCATCTCGGCTCACTGCAACCTCCACCTCCTGGGTTCAAGCGTTTCTCCTGCCTCAGCCTCCCCAGTAGCTGGGATTACAGGCATGCGCCACCATGCCCAGCTAATTTTGTATTTTTAGTAGAGATGGGCTTTCTCCATGTTGCCCAGGCTGGTCTCGAACTCCTGACTTCAGGTGATCTGCCCGCCTTAGCCTCAGAAAGTGCTGGGATTACAGGTGTGAGCCACTGCGCCCGGCCTAGTGAAAGATTTAATAAAGCAGAGCTTCCCAATTAATGGGCCTTATTATGCTGGGGTGCTGCCAATGGATTATAAGTAGGGCAAGAATTATCGATTCCCTCAGGGTTTGGGGCAGTCAGGCAGAGCTTGAGGGAGCCAGAGCCTTCATGCCAATCACCACCAGCTGCTAGCAACTTAGTTGGGCTTTTTTGCAGAGGGCAGGCTCTGTAGAACAGAATGTAGAATTTTGCCATCCAGTCTCCACAGTCAACCAGCACTAAAGGAACTTCTGTCCCTCACTGCTTCACTGTTTCATGCTGACTATCCCTAAGGAGGTGATCAACCAACACGTCTTCTATTTGAGACTAGTGGAGGGAATGAAGAGAGAAAATACCAGTAGGCCCCGCTCCGGGTACTGGCCCCAAATTCATATCTTCACATATGTCTGTTTGCTGCTGATATGCTGTCTCAGAGGCATCCAAGTTAGCCATGTGGTGACTGCCTGTATGTTCTGAAAATTACATCATTATTTTGAAATACGGTGCTTCACATTTAAAAATTTGGATTTGGGCTGGGCGCGGTGGCTCATGCCTGTAACCCCAGCACTTTGGGAGGCCGAGACAGGTGGATCACTTGAGCTCAGGAGTTTCAGACCAGCCTGGGCAACATGGCGAAACCCCATCTCTACAAAACATACAAAACTTAGCCGGGTGTGGTAGTGTGCACCTGTATTCCCAGGTACTTGGGAGGCTGAGGTGAGAGGATGGCTGGAGACTGGGAGGTGGAGGTTGCAGTGAGCTGAGATTGCACCACCACACTACAGCCTGGGCAACAAAACCAGACACTGTCTCCAAAAAGAAAAAAAAATTGGATTGGATTTGGAATTCATTTGTGTTATCATACATATTTCATCATAGTGCTTATCAGTGAAAGAAAAGGAAGAGCTGTTGGACTTTTAAAATATATTTCAATTATTGCTAGGCCTGGTAGCACGTGACTGTAGTCTCAGCTACTTGGGGAGGCTGAGGCGAGAGGATCACTTGAGCCCCCGAGTTCAAATCCAGCCTGAGCAACGGGGCAATAGAGCAAGACCCTGTCTCTAAAAAAATAGAATTTACAAAAAATTAAACTTTTTTATTTTTTTACTCTAGCCACCAGTTGTCTAAAAAATTCAACTGTTGCAGTTTTGGAATAATTGTCAAACATGTTTTAAGTTGTTTTTATCACCTACTTGTGGGAACAAAGTTTCTTATCAATGGTGATAATAAAAAATTCAGAAAGTCATCAGTGGGCTGGGCATGGTGGCTCATGCCTATAATCCCAGAACTTTGGGAGGCTGAGGCAGAAGGATCACTTGAGGCCAGGAGTTCAAGACCAGCCTGAGAAATATAGGGAGACCCTGTCTCTACAAAAATTTTAAATTAAATTAAATTTTAAGAAATAAAAACAAGTAGTCATAATTAAAACTTTGATAGGGAACTGTGTGAAATCATTTCAAGCACAATGACGGACAGAAAAAGTTATATTTTACAGAAGCAAGCTCAGGTTTTTCATTAAACATTTTTGAAAATATTTTATTTATAAGTTTAACACAAAATTGAATATCTTTTAAAGTATGTTGGGCTGGACACAGTGGCTCACGCCTGCAATCCCAGCACTTTGGGAGGCCGAGACGGGTGGATCGCTTGATGTCAGGAGGCCGAGACCAGCCTGGCCAACGTGGTGAAACCCCGTCTCTACTAAAAATACAAAAATTTAGCTGGGCATGGTGGTGGGCACCTGCAATTCCAGCTACTTGGGAAGCTGAGACAGGAGAATCACTTGAACCCAGCAGGTGGAGGTTGCATGAGCTGAGATTGCACCATTGCACTCCAGCCTAGGTAACAAGAGTGAAACTCCATCTCAAAAAAATAAATTAATCAACTAAATATATCATATTTATTTTAATTATAATAATTACAGATAATTACTATGGGGTAACTTACAGATATTTACATCCCCATAAACCCACCATCAGTTAAAAATAAGTCAAAAATGCATTTAATACACATAACTTATTAAGCATCATAGCTTAGATCAGCTTACTTTAAACGTGCTGAGAACATTTATATTAGCCTGCAGTTGGGCAAATATCATCCAACACAAAGGCTAATAAAGCGCTGAATATCTCATATAATTATTAAATACTATACTGAAAGTGAAAACAGAATGGTCATATGGGCACTCAATTGGAGAATGTCTGTCGATGATATAAAAAAGTAATGGATGTTGTCAGTGAGTCCCATGTAGACACCCACAAATCCCCTCTAGTTTACCCCGGGTGCTGTAAAATATCATTTTCCACTTGTGTCATGATAGAAAATAGCTGAGAAACACTGAAATAAGAATTTTTTTTTTAAAGAGTTGCTTAAACCACTTTATTAATCAGGACTCATTTCATTGTTAAGTGGCAGAAGTCCAACCAGAACTAGCTTAAGCCAAGTAAGCAGTGGGAGTGGGGGAGTACATTTATGAACTCAAGAACCAAAAATGCATAAAGGCAAGGATGGCACTGGCCTCAGTGATGACTGAATGAAAGGGCAGTAACACAGCGAGCCTAGCTCACTCTCACTCACTATCTCTACATCTTCATTTCTCATTGCTGCTCTCAGAATATTTACTTTCCCACCTCCTCTGCCATCACATTTTCTTTCTTTTTCTGGGTTTTTTTTTTTGTGTGTGTGTGTGTGTTGTTGTTGTTGTTGTTGTTGTTGTTGTTGTTCTGTTTTGTTTTTTTTTTGAGACGGGGTCTCTGTCACCCAAGCTGGAATGCAATGGTACAATCTTGACTCACTGCAGTGCAGCCTCAACCTCCTGGGCTCAACCAATCCTCCCACATCAGCCTCCTGAGTAGCCAGGACTACAGGCACACACCACCATGCCTGGCTAATTTTTTGTATGTTTTGTAAAGATGGGGTTTCATCATGTTGCCCGGGCTGGTCTGTAATTCCTGGGCTCAAGTAATCGGCCCACCTCTTTCTCCCAAAGTGTTGGGATTACAGGCATGAGCCACCACACCTGACCTACCGTCATTTTATCTATGCAGGGCAGGGAAGAGGGCTTTCAACAGATTTGGACCTATATCTTTATAATTTGTGCCCTATAATAGTATGTAAAATTCTGGGGAAGGATTCTAATTAGCCCACCTAAGTTCAGGTGGCCACAGCAGGTGGTACAGGGTCTGTTGGCAAAATAGTCACCAAGGGAATCATGACTCTGATAGTCCCTGAACTTTTGTTTTCCAAAATCTGCATGTAGTTTAGTGTGCCTTTGGTCTGAAAAAGAAAGGATTGAAAAGTATCTGGAAGGGAATGCTATCACCTTTCTGATTACCTTCCAGGACTCGAGATGTTATAGAATTGAGAGGGCACTAGTCCTTCCCAAGTACATTATTAACTGAAGCCATCAAATAGCCTTGGGACTCTGTAGATTGACAGATGTATTCTCTAGCATAACAGACTTTAACATCCCTGACTTCTTTTCTGTATGTGTGTTAGTCTATTTTTCATTGCCATAAATAAATGCCTCAGTCTGTGTAATTTATAAAGAAAAGAGGTTTATTTGGCTTATGGTTTTGTAGGCTGTACAAGAAGCATGGGATCAATATCTGCTCTACTTCTGGTGAGGCCTCAGGAAACGTACTATGATGGCAGAAGGCGAAGGGGGAGCATGTGTGTCACATGGAGAGAGAGAAAGAGAGGAGAGAGGTACCAGGCTCCCTTTAAACAACCAGCTCTCCCATGAACTAACAGAGGAAGAATGCACTCATTACCAAAGGGAGGGCACCAAGTTATTCATGAGGGATCCACTCCCATGACCCAAAAACTTCCCACTAGGCCCCACCACCAACATTGGAGGTCATATTTCACCATGAGATTTGGAGGGACAAAGCATCCAAGCCACATCAGTATGGAGACAAGGAATACATACTGTAAGACAGAAAGGATGGCCCATGCTATACCTGGGTGTATCAATCAGGATAAGCTAGGATCTGCCAGGGTAACAACCTTCAAATCTCAGTGGCTCATGATAATAAAAACTTATTTCTCATTTAGTCTTCACGTCCATCATGAGTTGGCATAGGTCTCTGCTCATCATGATCACTCATGGACCCAGCCTAATGGGAAGAAAAGGTTTCAGAAGGGCTCACATTGACAATGAAATGCTCTGGCCTAGAAGTGACAGATTATTACCACTCAACTCACACTGCCCAACCCAATCCCAAAGAGACCAGAAAGTTAAATCCTACCATGAAGGAGAACAAGAAAAACTTGCTGAATAGCACTAATGTCTATAACACTGATTTACAACTGTATATATTGGAGAGTGGGTGAATGAAACCTACAAAAATGTCGTAGGTGATTTCTTAGTATTATTGTCCCTGATCTTAGAAAAATCCAATATGAAAATGCAAATTATTCAATCAGGTAAACTATGGGTTACTTATTCACGGTGCATGAATTATTTAATTTATAGAAGGATTCAGCTTAGAATCTTTTTTAAACTTTGAATTTCTTAACACATCTAAATATTTATTTACAGAACATTTACCAAAGAATTCTGGAACCTTGGTGTTGAACCTTAGGTTAACTCTTAATACACACAACTTTGAGTTTTTACTGTACCTTGCCCATCTGTGTTTCTAGGCAAAACATATACATTAATCGACAGTTTCTCTAGGTCAAGTTGTAAAGGGTCCATAGTTAGTCAAACCCAAGAAAAAGAAGACTGAAATGCACAGTATAATCAGAACAGTAAAATCAGTGACATTAATTCTGCAGAATAAGAAATTCACCCTCGGCTGGGTGCAGTGGCTCACCCCTGTAAACCCAGGACTTTGGGAGGCCGAGGCAGGTGGATCATGAGGTCAAGAGATCGAGACCATCCTGGCCAACATAGTAAAACCCCATCTCTACTAAAATACAAAAATTAGCCGGGTGTGGTGGCACGCACCTGAAGTCCCAGCTACTCAGGAGGCTGAGGCAGGAGAACTGCTTGAACCCAGGAGGCGGAGGTTGCAGTGAGCTGAGATCACGCCACTGCACTCCAGCCTGGTGCTTGGCAACAGAGCGAGACTCTATCTCAAAAAAAAAAAAAAAAGAAAGAAAAAAGAAATTCACCCACAAGAACAGGACAAGAGTAGTCTTTTTTTGTGAGATGTAAAGCTCCAGTTTTTCTTTCAGAAGTGGCTGGTGGGATTTGCCAACAAAACTCAATTGGCATGTTCACATGTTAAAATGAACAACAAAGTCCTGGGAAGAAACTTTATTCCCACAGCAATAATCCTATAATAGCCTATGGCAATGCCTTAACCCAAGGGTTAACCCCTTAAACTAAGGGCCAGAGCACACTTCTAGTCCTGTTATCTTCGACAATACGCCTCAAAATCATGGGCAACCAATGCATAGCCAAATTTTGCCACCTCTGACAAGGTGAGCTAAACATTCAATTTCCCTGCTCACAAACTGTCAGTTGGTCCCTGGGGCTGCTGCTTACCAAGTGCTAAGAAACTTGGTAAGCAGCAAAACTCCGCCTCAAAAAAAAAAAGGAAAGAAAAGAAAAGAAAACATGGCTCCCCAGAACTTGGCCAATGAACTTGAAGGTCTTCAAAAGTGGTAGAAGACATGGCACCAGGCCATGCATGATGGCTCACGCCTTTAATCCCCGCACTTTGGGAGACCAAGGCGGTGGATCACCTGAGGTCAGGAGTTTGAGACCAGCCTGAGACCAGCCTGGCCAACATGGTGGAACCCCATCTCTACTAAAATTACAAAAATTAGCTGGGCATGGTGGTGGGTGTCTGTAATCCCAGCTACTCAGGAGGCTGAGGCAGAAGAATCGCTTGAACATGGGAGGCAGAGCTTGCAGGGAGCCATGATCACACCACTGCACTCCAGCCTGGGCGACAAGAGCGAAACTCTGCCTCAAAAAAAAAAAAAAAAGAAAAGAAAAGAAAACATGGCACCCCAGAACTCATGGAATTTACAGCCCACTTGAGAGGAAAAGATCTGATTTTTTTTTAATTGCAATTACAAATATGAAAAAAAAAAAAAATAGGCCAGGCACAGTGGCTCATGCCTGTAATCCCAGCACTTTGGGAGGCCAAGGCAGGTGGATCACCTGAGGTCAGGAGTTTGAGACCATCCAGGCCAACATGGTGAGACCCTATCTCTACTGAAAATACAAAAATGAGCCTGGCATGGTGGTAGGTGCTTGTAATCCCAGCTACTGGGGAGGCTGAGGCAGGAGGCTTTCTTGAACCCGGGAGGTGGAGGTTGCAGTGAGCTGAGATCATGCCACTGCACTCCAGCCTCGGCAAGAAGAGTGAAACTCTGGTCAAAAAGAAAGGAGAGGGGAGGGAAGGGGAGAAGAGGGGAGGAAGGGGAGGAAGGGGAAGGAGGGGAGGGAGGGGAGGAAAGAAAGGAAGAGCCTTGAAGTATGCAGACAATATCACTAGCTCACTAAGAACAACTGCCCCATCCTCCAACCCCTTAATTTGCTGCCTTGCCCTAAGTGTTGATGGAAAATAGTGCTGCATGCCTAGGACATATCAAAGAAGAAGATAGGTGCAAGTTCTTTCTCAGGAGAGACTGGCAAATTTATTGGAGGCCAAGGCACCAGAAAAATCCTGACACCAGAAAATACAGTATTTCTGACATTAAATCATTTCTTTTTTTTAAAGACAGAATCTTGCTCTGTGCCAGGCTGGAGTGCAGTGGCATGATCTCAACTCACTGCAACCTCTGCCTCCTAGGTTCAAGTGATCCTCCTGCCTCAGTCTCCTGAGTAGCTGGGACTACAAACATGCACCACAACACCCAAATTTTTGTAGTTTTAGTAGAGACGGGGTTTCACCATGTTGGCCAGGCTGGTTTCAGTCTCTTGATGTCATGATCCATCCATCATGGCCTCCCAGAGTGCTGGGATTACAGGTGTGAGCCACCCTGCCTGGCCCATTCAGTCATTCTTTTACTTAGTTTTTTGTTCACGAATATTTTGCTAAGCCATGTGCTGGGCATTGGACAAGACGGGCATTGGACAAGACAGACATAGTCCCTGCTCCTATGAACCTCACATTGCAGTGAGGGAGATAATAAACTGTTAATTATGATATTACGAGGGTAGCACTGTGACACGAGAAACACTGATGACCATGGGAGCACAGGGGAGGGACCCGCAGCATGGTTGAGGAGGCAAAGGGAGAGACTCTAATGACATGTAAACTGAAGCCCGCAGGACAAATAGGAGTTTGCCAGATGAATGAGGTGGAGAAAGAGTGTCACAGGCAGGATGAACAGTCTGAGCAAAAGCAGCGAGGTAAGCCACTCAATTCAAGAACCAGAAAAAGAATGCATAGCAAGATCATAGAGCGCGAGAGGGCAATAGGGGACTAACGGGGAGTGAAGCTAGAGAAATAATTAGAGAATCTTACAAACCATGGAATCAAAATTTGGACTTTACGCTAATGGCGGTGAGAGTTGTAAGCAAGGGAGTGTCATGAACCAGTTTGCATTTTAGAGAGATGAGTCTAGTTGCATTGAGAAGAAAGGTGCCCAGTTAGAAGGTAGCACGTAGCCAAGCCTCAAACTCTTTCTTCCCATGTTACATCAAGCAAGTTTAAAACAACCGTGTGTTTAAAATGGTACAATTACTGGATGGTAAAGCCTCCATCAGGCTGAATAGCTTAGGTGCCACATATAGCTATAGTCATGCTAGAAAGTCCCTTAGACCTATTGGATATGAGAGACAAATAAATATTTCTTGTGTTAAGCTACCAAGATTTGGAGTTGACACTATGCCATAACCTAGTATATCCTCAACTACTTGTCCCTATAAACTTGTGGGGACAGAAGTGAGGAGGCAGATGGAAGGTTTAAATAAATTATTCCTTCTTTTCCTCTGCCTGAGGAATAGCTGTCTCCCTTCCTCCATTCATTCCTCTTTCTGGTGCACTTTATATTATACACGGACACTTTCACTCCATTTCACATTCACATTCAATATACATATTTTCTGGTGGAAAGCAAATTGTTCTAAAAGGTAATCTTTTAAGATACTTTCTTGAGATATCTTGCATTTCTGTAAGATAAACAAAAACTTGCTGGACTATAAGCACTAATTTTCACATTTAAAAACCAATAGACTGTTTCTTCAAGCCCTACTCTGCCTTCTCCATAAGAGATTCAGTGTCTCACTGATGTGTCAAAATAGCTTAAGGTTCTTAGCCAGTCAAAAACCAGATCAAAGTGTGCTGAAGCTGAACAGTTGAGTCCATTGTACTAAGGATCATCAACCAAAATGATCACATTTCTGGCGTGTCCTGATAAAATGGAAAAAGCATCACAGAAATAAAATATTGCCACAGAGGTGCCTGTTTTTATAAGCAAATATGCTGGCAAGACCTATTTAGTAGCAAGCAGCTTTTATGAAAGGCAGCACTGTAGGCCATTAACTCTTGTTCCATGTAAACTACCCAAAGTCGGGATAGGGAAAGTTGGAGGAAAGCGGCAGTTGGCATCTGCTGATTTGATGGAAAGTTGGCAAGATGTCTAGGATGTGAGCTCTGAGAATTTTGGGGGGAAATATTGATGGATAAAAGTTGAGAAAGCTATTATTTTAAAAGCACAAGCATCAAGATTGGGAAGTAGATATGTGAATTTATCTTTAGTTCCAGCTGCTCCTTTTAGGGGAGAGGGTTGGAGAGAACCCTTGAATGGGTCCTTCAGTTCCATACATTGAAAGAAAGTACCTGCCCTTTGTTTTTGATTTGTTTGGTTTTTTTTTAATGTTCTTCAATCCTATCCTTTGTTCTTGATGGAAACTATGGAGCAACTTGAATGAAGACCCTTTTAGATTGATGAACTGAGTTTTGATTTGTGATAGAAATTGTTGCAAAAATAGCTGTGTGTAGTTGAACTAGAGTTACTTTATGTTTCTGCAGGACTTTTTCACCTGAGGAAGTGTCCTGTGCCTTATACCTACTGCTTATCCTTCTGGAGATATGTCTTCTCCCATTTGAGTTATCACACACAGAAGATGAGGAATTAAGCCAGGAAGAGGGCATGGTGGCTCGCTTGTAGTCCCAGCACTTTGGGGGAGCCAAAGGGGGAGGATTGCTTGAAGCTAGGAGTTCAAGATTGTGCCACCGCACTCCAGCCTGAGCAACAGAGCAAGACTCCATCTCGAAAAAAAAAAAAAACAAAAAAGCATACAAGTCCTGACAAGATGGTAAGGAATTACTAGGCCAGAATTAAAGGTTAAATATTTACCAGCGAGGTGAATAAGAGCAAAAGAAACATTTTCTCTAAGGGTTCTTGAGAATCATAAATTTTTGAACTTTCACTTTGAATAATTCACAGAGCAGGTGGCATCAGGAAAGAAGTCAAAGCTTGGAGCACCCACAAATAGGAGATCCTCCCCTCAAAAAGCTAGGACCCCCAGAGTGCTACACCTTCAGGAAAAGGATGAACCAGAGTTGGGACTGTCCTCACATGGGATTACAACCCAAGTCTGATTCTCTGGGTTGTTCACAGAACGTCCAGGCTTGAGCTAGGTTTAAGGAAATGCCATATTGCTGGTACCCCCAAGTACTTGACAGAAACAAACACATATGTTTGGAGAAAGAAACCTTTATCCTTGATCTCAAATTATTCTTACAAATAATTTTTAAATGCAGTGAGGAACACATGGTCAAAGATAACCAAGCATGGGCATGATGGCACACATGTGTAGTCCTGGCTACTTAAGAGGCTGAGACAGGAGGATCACTTGAGCACAGGAGGTTGAGGCTGCAGTGAGTCATCATCATGTCACTGTACTCCAAGCTGGGCAAGAGAGCAGCATCCTGTCTCAATAAAAGATGACCAAGCACACAAGAAAACTAGACCCAAAAAGCAAGAATCACTGGCTACAACCAACAATAAAAACAGACCCTCAAAAACTTCAGATAGTGGAATTACCATATACAGACTATTAAATAACTGTGAGGTGGCTTACCATTTTTAATGAAATGAAAAATAAGCTAGATCAAATCTACAGAGAATAGGAAACTCTAAAAAGTGACATTGAAGACTTAAAAAGAAACCAAATAAAACTTATAGCAAAACAAATAACTGAAGTTTAAAACTCAATGCTTCAGTAGTCATATGGTGCTACTGAAGGGCAAATAATGAACCAGAAATTAAGACAAAATAAATTATCTATTATGCTACATAGAGAGACAAAACAATAGAAGATAAAAAAGAGAAAGTGAGAAATAAAGAAGATAGAAGATGTTCTAACACAGTCACTTCTCATTATTGACAAGAGTTATGTTCTATAAAGTCATTGTGAATACTGGATTAGTGAATACTAAACCATTGTTCCTAGGAGAAATAAAAGGTTAAGTTCCTATGAGCATCTGTTCATAATTATTTCATTAATTAATCAATATGTAACTTTGTTTTATGTGTGTTTGTGTTTAAAGGCAGCTTATTTAACATACTCATGGCCAACAGCACTATAACTCATGTTTGAATGAAGCTTATCTAACACACTGATTTTCACAGCCTTCTTGCACCAAAAAAGCTTTTAAACAGAGAAATCACCAACAAAAAAGCAAAAGCAAAACCAAAACACTAAATAGATAGCAAAAAGGACATGTGTTTACGGTGTGAAAGCTGAAGCAAAGAAGGCAGAGCATCACCTTGTTTGACCTCAGCTGGGAACATGTACATCAGGTGACTCCAATTTTTTGCCACTCTGAGAATGTCCATGAATGACCATGAAAATAAGATTAATTTTGGGGTCACAAATAGATTTTAGCAAGTAGATGAATCTGCACATATGCAATACACAAATAATGTAGATTGATTATACTTGGAGTTCCAGAGAGACAAAGAGGAAAGAAAGATGGGGAAAAGGTAACATTCAGAAACAAAATGACAGAATTTCTTAGAACCTATGAAAGACACCAACTGACAGATTAAAGAAAGCCAAAGCAGAATAAATGAAAAGAAACCCACTTCTTGGTGCATAACAGTAAAAGTACAGAAAGTCTGAGAAAATCTTAAAAGCAACCAGAGACGAAGACAGAAAAACATCAAATAACAGTAAGACTGACCTCTAACTTCTTATCAGCAACAGTGGAAGCCAGGGAAAAGTGAAATGTTGTAGGAAAAGAAAATAACTGCCAAGAGTGTCCAAAACCCAGAGGGCCAGGAAAGGTGGCAGGGAAAAGGGAGGAAAAAAAAAAGAACATTGGGAGATTAAGGTGAGTGGATCACTTGAGGCCAGGAGTTCAATATCAGCCTAGCCAACATGGTGAAACCCTGTCTCTACTAAAAAATGCAAAAATGAGGCCAGGTGTGGTAGCTCATGCCTGCAATCCTAGCACTTTGGAAAGCCGAGGTGGGCAGATTGCCTGAGCTCAGGAGTTCAAGACCAGCCTGGGCAACATGATGAAACTCTGTCACTACTAAAAATACAAAACATTAGCAAGGCATGGTGGCACACCTGTAATCCCAGCTACTTAGCAGGCTGAGGCACGAGAATTGCTTGACCTGGGAGGCAGAGGTTGCAGAGAGCCAAGATTGCTCCACTGCACTCCAGCCTGGGCAACAGAGTGAGACTCCATCTTAAAACAAATAAATAATAAATAAATAAATAAAATGGTGGTTATAAAAATGTCATCATACAAAATAGGAATTTTAGAAATGGTAAATATTATTGAGGCTACTAGTGTATTTTAAAACTTCTGAGCCAGGCACAGTGGCTCACACCTGTAATCCCAGCACTTTGGGAGTCCAAGGTGGGCGGATCACCTGAGGTCGGGAGTTCGAGACCAGGCTGACCATCAAAAAGTGGGTGAAGGATATGAACAGACACTTTACAAAAGAAGATATTTATGTGGCCAGGAAACATGAAAAAAAGCTCATCATCAAAAAATCTGGAGACCACAGATGCTGGAGAGGATGTGGAGAAATAGG